AAGTAATTGAAAAATTAAAGGAGGATGAATTCACCAAAGGCACCCTGAGGAACCGGCATGGACCCTGGGGTTCCTTTTTTTTTTGACAGTGCTGGGAATGACCCCAGGACCTCTCCATCCGTAGCTAGGCAAGGGCTCTACCTCTGAGCCACATCCACACCCTCCTGGAGCTTCTGCTTCTCAGGGTGGGTGGCTCATGCTCCCTAAGGAGGGAGTGGCCCCCAGAGCTGGACGGCATTACTGTAGCTCTGGGCAATCTAGAGGCCACTGGGAGGAGCCGGACTCAATGGTCCTCTCTGCCAACAGGGGCCCAGCTCTCCCCGGGTGCCATGCTCATGGTCCTGATCCCAGTCATACCCGGGGAGGGAGCCTGAAGATTTCAGGTGTGCCAGGGAGCACAGGAGGGTTTGGGGGGATGGAGGCTTCCTCTTCCACTCCCAGTGTCCTAGCAGCAAAGTGCTTGACTGGGAATGTCCAGCAGAACCCAGTGAGTTGGAACGTGGATGATGAAGATGAAAATACCACACAGGCCTCCTGAGGGTGCCCAGTTCAGTGTAACAGACTGTATAGATCTTGTTATAATGATTATTAGAGTAGGTACAGACCACTAAAAACCCTGGGCGCTACATATATATACATACACAATGGTGAAGTCTGCCCACCTGTCTCAGCTGGCCTCTTCCGGTCTTGCTTTGCTTGGTCATTATGCAGTGGGGAGGCTAGGGACAAGGAGGACCGTCTTGTTACTGCCCAGTGGGGGCAGAGGTCCACATTCTGCACTGAGCCTTCTTTGACACCCAAAGGGGTTCCTCATGATTGCTGCAGAGATAGAGGTGGAGAGATGGATGGATGGATAGTAGATAGGAAAGAAAGAAGGACAGACACAAGAAGACTCTGAAAGATGTTTGGAAGGCAGACAGGCCAGGGACCTGGCGACCTGAGGAATGGCACCATGATGAGTTCTTTCAATTTTCTTCTTGGCTTCCTATATCCCAGACTGGGATCTAAAGAAACCAGAAACACCAGGAGACATGAGCAAAGAAGCCCCAACAAAAGCTGGGTCACTCCAGCCGAAGGCCCAGGGAACGGAGCGCTCTAGGCAATAAGAAGCCCCAGAAGAAACATGGCCCCACCCACCACTTGGGGAAGACTTATGGAAGAACCTAGACTGGGCCATTAGGATGGTATCAGAGAGACCAAGTGGGATTTCCATCTTGTGGGGTGAAAGCACCTCTCACTCTGTGCCAGTGGAGGCCACTTGGGGAGCCAAGAATTCCTACCTCTCCCTGCAGAAAGGAGGTTTCCCACCCCCGCCCCGGTCCATGCTGAGATAGTGTCTGGCCGCCTCGTGGCGAGTTGAACCCCCATTCCTGCCCAGCAATGATGAGGAGCCCCCTTCGGGTGCCAAAGAAGGCCCATTAGGGAAGGTGGATTTCTGCTCACACTGGGCGGTGACAAAGCAGTTCCCATCACCACCACCCCCACTGCACAATGACCAGGCAGAGCAAGATTGGAGGAGGCCAGCTAGGACAGGTTGAGTCTCATCATCGTACCCAGTGGTCCAGGTCTCAATGGAACATTGCTGGTCATACCCCCAATCAGAAAGATCTTAATGTTGAATGGAAAAGAGACGATTAACAGAGGCCAACACCAAGCTGACAGGTTAGAATTATCCACCAAAGACGTGACAGCAGGTCATCATCAAAAACGCCCCAAAGAACACCTAGGAATCTCTTCGAAACATGAAAACTCAGGTCTTGGCAAAGAAGTAGAAGATGTCAAGAAAAACCAAATGGAAGCTTAAGAGTTCCATGAAAAATCCAACGAATGGGCACAAACAGAAAGAACCATGAACCAGAGAGGTCACAGTAGAAATCACCCAGCATTAGGGACAGAGACAAGGGACTGGAAGGGAACAAACTGAGCTCCAGGGGCCTGTGGGACCGTGACAAAAAGTCTGACATCCATGCCATTGGAATCCCCCAAACAGGAGAAAGTGAGTCTCAAGCACCACTCACAGACCTGTGACTGAAGTCCTTCCTGCGGTGCTGGCGGGAAGGTAGGAAGGAGCAACCTCTCTGGAAAACGGTGGTTTCTTTAAAAACTAGATTTGTGACCACCATAGGATCCAGCGGCGGCACTGCTGGGCGTTGATCCAAGAGAGATGCAGACTCTGTGCAGAGGACCAAACTGCTCTGCAGATGTCCTTCCTCAGGTGAATGGTTAGGCACACTGCGAAGCGTCCATCCAGGACCGCCACCGAGTAATGGAGAAATAGAAATAGAAACCCGGTCCAGGCAACAACCTGGGTGGGTCTCCAGGGAATTATGCAGAGTGAAAAAAGCCAATCCCAGAAATATCTGATTCCATTTATACAACATTCTCCCACAGTATAGAAGTGGAGAATGAATACGCGGTTGCCAAAGGCCACGGATGGGGGTGGTGGGAGCGATGGGGGCGTGGCTACGAAAGGGCCCCCCCTAGGGCCCCTGTGCTAGGAGTTTCTGTATCTTGGCTGTCTCGCTGTCAACGTCCTGGTTGTGACATTGTGCTATGGTTGTGGAAGATGCTACCTACCGTGAGGGGGAAGTGGGCAAGCCGTGCGTTATTTCTTACAATGCATGTGCATCTAGAATTGCCTCGCAATAAAAAGTTTAATTTCGGAAAATGAAATCATGTTCATTTAGAAAACATAAATAAAAGAAGAATCCACATCCCATCTCCCAGAGATAGCCACCATTAGCATTTTTTAGTGTATCCTTCCAGATTTTTCTATGCAGATAAGTACTTGCCTTAAAGGACCCCATACTTCCATCAGCAAGAGTGAACTATTTTGCTTCATCCTTAATTACTCCACTTTCAGTTTGGGCTGTGACAGATATCATTGTGCCTAAATCCTTATGCACATCTTTGATTACTTTATTTGGATACATAACCACATGTGGAATAACAAGGTCCAAAGGTGGGCATGTATTAGAGGCTTTTGAAACAAATTGTCAGATTTCCCACCGAAAAATTATATTAACTTCTACCCCTGATATGCAATGTGCTGTAAATTACTTTATGGGTGGAAACTAAAAGTCACATGTCTGTCCCTCCTTTGACCATTTTAATTTATCTAAAACCATGCCACTGCCTGGCGCAGGGGCGCACACCTGTAATCCCAGTGGCTCTGGAGGCTGAGACAGGATGATCACGGGTTCAACAGCCACAGCAAGGCACTAAGCAACTCAGTGAGACCCCGTCTCAATAAAATACCAATAGGGCTGGGGGTATGGCTCAGTGGTCAAGTGCCCCTGAGTTCAATCCCCAGTACCAAATAAATAAATAAATGAAGCCATGCCACCAAGTGGAAAGCTTTTCAATGGAAAATTTTTTCATTAATTTTTTAATGAGAAAGAAAGAATGCATTTAATCCCAACCCAAGAGACCCCCAAATTTTCACAGATAAAAATTTATCAAGTGCATTGAAAGTGAGTTTTTTTAAGTAATAAGCAATCACTTGAAAGTTGGTTCATAAAGTGCAATTGCAGTGAAGGCCCCTGGTACACTAGACAGGTCACATAGGAGGTGGAGACTCATTTTGGAGAAGGTGACATCTCTCTGCCAATTTCTCACCACTGCATGACTTTTGAGGGGTGTGGCTATCTTGTTCCCCACCTGCACTGCCGGTGACTTTATGGCATGGAAAACCTGGGGGTGACATTGAGATTGAACACGAGTGCTGGGAGTGGCAGGACAGGGCGTCAGGTGTGGGCCTGGAAGCCGTGAGGATGCCCACCCCAACCCCACTCACCCTTTGACTTGCTTCCGGTCCACAAATCAAAAGGTTGTCATTCATCCTGGTGCAGAGCTCAGGTTTGCCTTGCTGTTCCCTCATTGGGAAAGTGTTGTCAAAATAACTGGGAGCCTCTCTGCCCCAAACCATCGTGTTAAATGTATTCATGTGCTAGGGCTGCCAGGACCAAGTGCCACCAACTGGGTGGCTAAGACAGCAGATATGGATTTCCTCTCAGTTCTAGAGGCTGGAAGTCCCGGATCAAGGTGTCAGCCAGGCTGGTTTTTCTGAGGCCTCTCTCCCTGGCCTACAGATGCCATTTTCTCCCTGTGTCCTATGTCTGTGTGCAGCACCCCTGCTGTGTGTGCAGATTTCCTCTCACTAGCCAGGCATGGTGGAACACTCCTATAATCCCAGCTACTCCCAGAGGCTGAGGCAGGAGGATCCCAAGTTCTAGGACAGCCTCAGCAACTTAGTGAGACCTCGACTCAAATTTTTAAAATAAATAAATAAAAAGATCTGGGGGTACAGCTCAGTGGAAAAGCAGCCCTGGGTTCAATCCCCAATACCAGGAGGAGAAGAGAATAAATCTCCTCACATTATAAGGCTATCAGTCATATTGAATGAAGACCCACTGTGACATCCTCATCTGAACTTTTAAAAAAATATTTATTTGATTTTTATTTGTTGTAATTTGTTTGATAGTAGAATATATTTTGACGTGTTATACATACATGGAGTATGACTTCCCATTGTCACGGTCGTACATGATGACATCCTCATCTTCCCTTGATCACCTCTTTAAAGGCCCTGTCTCCAGGTGGTCACATTCTGGAGGTGGTGGATGGGGTCCACAGTTGAGGTTTTTCAGGTAACCCTGCTCCCAGAGGATACAGCAGGTGGCTGGCGACAGAAGCAGGAGGGTTCACCGTGTTTTCTACTAGATCTTTCAGATTTCGTTCCCTGTGCATGTGTATTTGTGCATCTACTAAATGAATAAAATGTGGACTTTAAGTGAAAGAGGAACTCGAATCTCTCTATGCCAGCCACCTGTCTGGCCGTTCTGTCGCAAAGCCTGGTAGGTAGGAGGTTCTCAATAATTGTTTTTTGAGAGAATGAATAATGCAGCAAGGCAGTGACTTCCTCCTCTGGTGTTCAGATGCAGGGACCCTGGCTGGCCCACCATTGACCCCCCTCTCTGTCTTTTCCCTTCCCTTTGCAGAAGACAGCAGAGACCTCCAGGGGGGAACAAGCCCCAACAGCACGGGGACCACCAGCCGGGCAGTGCCAAACACAACAGGGATCACCAGAAATCCTACCAGGGGGGCTCAGCGGCCCCCGCCTCAGGGAGGCCTAACCACCACGGCTACAGCCAGAACCGGCGCTGGTACCAGAGCAGCATGAAGCACCCTCCAGGGGACAAGGGGGAGGCAGGAGCCCACCGTAATGCCAAAGAGACCGTGGCCATCGAGAGCCCCAAACTTGAGGACACCCCAGGGGACACCAGGAACAGTGGCCTTGAAACCCCCCGCAGCCCTGACACCCTCACCCCAACAGCTCCCGAGAGGCTGCCACCACAGCCTCCGGGGGGACCAGAGGCCGAGACCAAGCACAAAGACAGTGTCCCTCCTGAGCGCGCGGGGGAGCGGCCCAGAATCACCCTGCTCCAGTCTTCCAAAGACAGGCTGCGGCGGAGGCTAAAAGAAAAGGTACCGGTAATTGACTTTTTGTTGTTCTCTTGCACCAGGGAGGACAGCGAGAGGTAGGCACTCTGGTAGGTGGGCTCTGGCTGGAGGAGAGGGAGCTATGTGGGGGGGCTTCTGGGTGGATGCCACTGGGCCACCACAGGGCAAGCCACGGCCAGCTCTGCAGGAACCCCTCAGCACATCCTGGGCTCCGCGCTTTTGGTCACCCCAAAGGTGCAGCTAGCACTGGGGAGAAGCCGGAGGGACATGTGCTGGGGTGGTGGGAGGGGCACAGGAGCATTTTGGGGGGTCAGAGTCCACCATGCTAAGGAACATTTGGGGACACGTGGAACTTAAGCAATAAGACAAAAGGCTGCTTCTCCCCAGTGTGAGCCCCTCACAGGCTCGGTCCCTGCCAGGAGCCAGGCAGCATGGGAGCAGGTTGGCCTCCACCCTGCCCTCCCCCACTTCATCTCCCAGCAGCCTGCGAGGGCTCAAAGGTGCAAAGCGAGGAGGCCCAGCCTCTGCGTCACACGAGTGCCAGCCTGCACTGAATGACCTGAGGACAGGGTACCAAGCCACCAGAAAAGGAATGGGGACTTGTCAGTGGTAGCATTATGTCCCTGGTGCCCGGTCCAGCCACCACTGCCCCAGCCCCTCCACACTCACCCAGGACACAGGCGCTGTCGCCGGGGAGAGGAACCCTCGCCGAGGAAGGCTGATGGCCACAGCCATCCCCGCACAGCGGGCAGAGCCTACTGAGTCCTCCTTCTGGGACATCCCCACAGCGAGATGTACTGGGCTCCTCCTCCGGTTCCTTTTGCCCGGAAGCCAGGTCCAAGTTCCACCCTCAGGCAGAATAAGGCAGGGCGCCCTCTTCCCAAATCAGCCCTTAAAGCTGAAGTGTCACACTGTGTCCCCCCTGCCCCAAAGTGCCCAGCCCTGCTCCTCCTTCCTGTGGGGACAAGGGCCACAGGCTGAGAAGAAATCCTCCCTCATTTCCTGACTTCCCAAAGTGGGCCTCCTGGCTGAGCCTCCTAGCTGATGGCCAGCGTGTGGCTTTGCCCGGAGAGCTTCCAGGACAGCTTCTAGAGCCGTGGGGGAGGATTCTGAGTTCTCCAGAGGCCTGCCAAGCAGAGCGCAGAGCAGCACGGGGGACACCGCTTGGGCTTTAGCATCCAGGCTCAGTCCTCACCCTGCTTTGGACTGGCTGGGTGACCGTAAGCAAGTCAACCACCTCTCTGAGCCCATTTTATTCTGCAAACTAGGTATAATATGCCCCCCCACACTTGCAAAGAGACTGTGAAGATTAAATAAGACGTGTAACGCCCCTCGTGGGTTATTCAACACGCAGACCATGGTCCCTGCCGAGGGGCCCAGGTGGTCAAGGTGGGGAGGTGCGTGAACAATAAACAGATCAGGCACTTCTGTAGTACCCATAAATGAGTTTCAGGGACTTGTCCCAGGTGAGGCCTGTCCTCAGGAGGGTGCAGGCTCAGGTCCATGAAAAAGCGTGTCTTGAGAACAGGGCAAAAGCAGGACGGGGTATCGCTGTGTGACCCCGATCCTGCCCCTGGACTGGGTTTCACATCTCAGCAGTGAAGTCGCCTGCATTCTTGGCCACCCATCTGCTGTCCTGAGTACGTACTTTTGAGATAGCTAGACGCCATCTTCCTTCTTTCCAGCCCCTAGCCTGGTCTCAGCCAGTAAAACCTCAAAGGGCGGGAGGGGTTTTGTCCTAGCCATTTTAGTGACACTGTAGAAGGTTCCTTGGTGTGTAGCATCTGTGTGCAGAGACCCTCAGTTCCATAGGACATAAAACCAGGGAGGATTCCACAGGGAACCCTGTGCCCAGAGAACACAACCACCCCTGGGCATTGGGAACAGAAGGGTGTGGAGGACATGGGGCCAACCCTGGGCCACCTCTCACCCCTGCAGGCATTTTGTACCGTACTCGCATTCCCAGCCTGGTCTTCTGCTCTCATCTGTTTTGTTCAGATAAGATGTGTTATCATATTCCTTCTTTTTGAACCCCTCGGGGCTGAGGATATAGCTCAGTTGGTAAAGTGCTTGCCTCGCATGCACAAGGTCCTGCGTTCAATCCCCAGCACCACAGAAAATAAATAAATAGATCCCATTAAATCCTTTCTGATAGGCAGACAGACAGACAAAACCCCAATGTATATGAGAATCCTGGGTAGGAACTAGAACTTGCAATGTCAACTAGGGTGTCACCAAGGCCCAGAAAAACATCAGCAAAGAGCATTTGGGGCATGCGGGCCCTTGGTGGGTAAGCGTTCCCAAAGGACCTCAAGTCCTTCTTCTGGGGTGACAGCCCGCACTCCCTCAGGCCACCCGCGCCCCGCAGAAACCTCTGCTGCGCTCAGCCACGCTCGGTTTCCTCCCACATGCCCAGGATGAAGTGGCCGTGGAGACCACCAGCCCCCAGCAGAACAAGATGGACAAGCTGATCGAGATCCTGAATAGCATGCGGAACAACAGCAGCGACGTGGACGCCAAGCTCACCACCTTCATGGAGGAGGCCCAGAACTCCACCAACTCCGAGGAGATGCTGGGCGAGATCGTGAGGACCATCTACCAGAAGGCCGTGTCGGACCGCAGCTTCGCCTTCACGGCTGCCAAGCTCTGTGACAAGATGGCCCTCTTCATGGTGGAAGGGACCAAGTTCCGCAGCCTGCTCCTCAACATGCTCCAGGTAACCCGACACCAGCAGCTGCCACCCCATGCCCCCTGCCCCTCCGCGCCGTGGGTTATTACTAGAGAGGAGGCTGCAAGTTCTGACCACACTTGAACTTGTCCCAAGTTCCTTCCTCCATTGCCTGATTAATTATAGAAAATCAGAAGGCAGTCAGAGGCGAGGGATGAGCGGCCGGGTTTGTGTGTGTTTGTATGAGTGCTCCATGGTTACAAAGGACCGATATAATTTTATGGGTGCTTTTTGTTCAACCAGCATTTCCCGCTTTCTATTTTCATGATAAGAGAGACGGCGGCTGGCTCCGTGCTTTGACCTCTGCACGTCTGAGCAGACGTGAACTTGCCGTGGACCTCTCTCCTCTCCCCAGGGTCAGCCTCTCAGAGCGTGGTGGCTGTGCAGTTGTTATAGCTGGGACTGAGATGGGTTTGAGCAGAGCCTTGGGGGGGACAGGACGCAGATGGCCTGTCTGCTGACGCACGGCAGGTCCTGGGCTGAGGGAAAGCATGGCAGCCCAAGACTGCTTCGTCCTTGGTGCATTCCCACTCGATATCCCTTCAGCTTAGCTCCAGTCCTGCTCACTCCTGCCTCCGTGGAGACCAGGTCCAGCCATGATCATGGCAGTGCACGTGTGGTGGATGTGGCCGTGTGCACTTAGACTGAACCCTGTACCACTTTGTCTCACATCTATCTGCTCTTTCATTGTGGGTGGCCGTAGGTGAACTGGTGACATTGGGGATAAATGGCAGGTATCTTGGCATTGTGGCCTCACTAGGGCCATCCTTGGAGATTGGGCTGGGCAGAAGCCATCTCTCCTGCTACTTTGTATTTTAGAGATTAGTTGAGATACAAATCAAGCTGCTGGTTCAAATAAAGTCAAACAGTCACCTAGACATTGCAGAGCCCAAGAGACCACACGCAGGTCATTGGTCACTCGGGTGACCACAGATCGATCATCTAAACTGCCATTCATCTGGGAGTCCAAGGGACTCCATTCACAGCTGCGCCTGGTGTAAACAAGGTAGCACGTCCACCTTCGCCTCAGCCACCTGATTTATGATTTGCCGACTTTTCGCTAAAAGCAAGAGGAGGTCACTGCTTTCTATCCACCTGCGGCCTGCCGAGCCCCACGCCTGCTGTCCGTCCTTTCTCTCCCGAGTGCCCCGGGCACTGTAACCTGAGCCTCCCTGGCCAGCCTGGGCTCCTCTGTCCAGCTCCAGGGCTGATCAGGTTCCCATTCCTGGATCGCCCGCGCTCCCCTGGTGATGAATTCCCGCATTACCTGAGGGATTTGCACATTGGGCATGTTCCTCGCAGGCCGGAATGTCCTGGGAGAGTGTGGAGGGTGACAGGCAGAGAGGCCTGTCGCCATGTACCACCAGGCACGGGGGAGCCGTGGACAAGCTCGGCCTTGCACTCGGCTTGGGGATTATTTTTTTTTTTTCAAACAAGGGCCAGGGTGAAGCAAGAGTTCTAGACCATGGTTGCCAACTCCAAGTAACCCAGCCACCTCAGCGGCAGACAGTCCCAGGGCACAGGGTACCCAGGGACGCTGGCTGGCTGCAGAGGCTGCCCGAGATCAGGCATCTGTTTTAGCCACCCATGGTAAAGTGGCCTTGCCCCTAGATGTCCAGCAGAGCATCAATCCTGTGACTTCTCAGCCACCAAAGGGGCTCTGTGACCCCTGCACCCACTTCCCTGTGAGTCACAAAATCCACTCATTGGCTCAGGAGGGCTCCGGGGGGGTCCCAGCAGGAAAGGCGCCTGTCAAGCTGAGTTTCACTCATTGACGTCCCATCCGCATCCCCTGGCTAACAGGTTCTCGTAGGGTCACTGTGCTGGGTGTTCCCTGGGTGGGAAACGCACTGACCTGATGACAGGGGACCAGCCCAGACCTGGCTGAGGCTGACGGTCGGCAGTGGGAGCCCAGCCTTGCAGTCGCCCCTCGGGGTGCACCTTGTGGTCTGGCCCTGCTGGCTGCTAGAGATAATCGGGCCACCAGAGGAGCACAAGTGACCCATCTGGGCCTTTCCCTTTCACACATCCCCAGGCCTGGCCGCTGGATGAAGCAGTCCTTAGCACACACACCTCTACACACCCCAGTTCTTACCAACTGCTTCACCCCACATTGTAACTCTGTGATAGGTCTGTCATGAGTGACATGTGACAGAGGCCTACCCTACTGATGCCACCTTGTGTCTGGGGCAGAGGTGAACCAGTAACTCCCACATTCTGCTCCTGCCACCCTATGGCCAGGCTGAACCTCCAGCTATATCCGAAGGGACACCTTCCCCACTCCTGCCCCCGCCACCAACTAAAATTCACTGCCCCTCGCATCCCAGATACCCGGCCCTTTGCCAGGGTGACTCATACTCACACTTTAGGTGGCACTTGGGCACCGATCGCCACGGATCCTGCTGTAACCCCCTGACTCTGGGCTCCTATCACCAGGTAGCCACCTGACTAGCCTAAGTTTCTTCCTGTGCCAGGCAGAGGATTCGGTGGGCAGTGCCCAAAGGCAGCTCTGTCCTCTAGAGGTGTGCCATGGGGAGCGACGGGGACTCCTCCTGGGAAGCCCAGGAGCACGGCGATGCAGGGTCCCTGCTGTCATTGCCCACCTCCCAGCTCAGGAAGGCAGGGACCCCCTCTGCTCCTTTCTCTCTGTGTCCTGGTGCTGGCAGGCCTTGGTGGCCATGGGGAAATGGGTGTCAGAAGAGGAAGAAGCTTACCCCTCTCTTCTCCCAGGCCATTGGCCCATGGACAGCTGTGGTCCTGGCTAGAAGGGAACCCCTGGAGGCAGACACGACCCCCATTCTGAGCTCCAGGGCTTGTTCCCACCGTGTGACAATAGCCGTGGGCCTGGATGGAGTGTGCGGGGCTCATCCCACAGGCCACCACTCACCCCTTCACCACCCACAACCCAGCTTTCCCGCGAGCTACAGAGGAGTCCTGAGGGGTGTGACCAGAGGCTTCACCTAGGCCACCTCTGGGTTGCTGCCCTGGGAAGGCCGCTGTCTGTGCTGCGCCCTGGCTACACGGCCCATCCGCAGGGAGCCCAGCTGTCTGATTGGTCCTGCAGCCCAGGATGCGGCAGTGTGGAGCAGGCCTTCCGGGCAGCATAGTTCAGGGTCACTCACCACCCAGACCAGAGAGGCCCAAGAAGAGCAAGGCTCAGCACCCACCTGCGTCCCTCCTGACACCCGCGGGAGGGCCTCTCATCTGCTTCCGTTGTGTTTCTGCCGCACCTGGTTGGGTAACTCTCCTGGCAGAGAGAGGGAGACCTGGGCCCAGCGCCCTGCCCTCCCTTTCCCCGTGGGGTCTATGCTCAGCTCCAGCCACGCCAGGCCCACTTGGCTCTGCGTCTCTAGCCAGGCCCTGGTTCTCTTCTGCAGCCTCTGAGATGCTCCTCCTGTGGCCAGGTTGGCGGCCACGTCTCCGCCCAAGTTCTGACACGCAGCTTAGTGTGCTGGCTGCAAAGGGGCCAGGCTGTGAAGTGCCCCTGAGCTCTGCTCCCAGCAGCTGTCTTTGTCCCCAGGCCTTCCTGGCCGCCTGCTCTTGCTGCCTGGCCTTCAGTGGTGGGAGCTGGCAACACAGGAGGGAGAGAGGCCACTTCTTTTGTTACTCTCCAGCAGAGGTCCGAGGGACGTCAAGCTGGGGTGCAGCCCCCACAGAGTAGGGAATGGGGTATAGGGAGAAGTCAAAGGCGCTTCGATTCTTCCCAGCCAAATCCTCTCAGGGAACTTAGAACCACTGCCCTCATGAGCCGTGACAGTGCAGTGGACCCCAAGGTCTCAGTGGACCCCTATCAACAATCCCACAGCTCAAAATCAGCCTTGGAAATTTGTTGAAATGCAGATTCCGATGCAATGTATATGTGGCAGGGCCTGAGAGTCTGCATTTCTAATAAGTTCCCAGGTGATGCCGGTGAAGCAGGTCCAGGGACCACACTTGGAAGCAGCAAGGCATTGGGACTGGTAGTTTGTAGGTAATGGGTCAGCTTCACAGATGGGTAAACTGAGGCACAATCTCTTGTCGGTGTGACTGTCCACAGTGGGGATCCAGCCTAAGAATACTGCAAGATGACTGATGCTGGGTCATCTTTAGGTCTGTGGGTTCTCAGGTGCTCTCCATTAGAATCACGAGGAGAGCTATTAAAACAAGCTGGCCCAGGGGTCCTACCTGACATTGAACTACATTCTCAGGGACGGAACCCCAGGGCATCCTTTCATAAAGAATCCCTCAGGTGATTCTAGGTGCAGCCAAGGTTGAGTGCCACCACTAGGGAGTTGGCCCAGAGACACCGGGACTCTCCGTCGTCGTCGTTGTCACTTATGGACCAGCCGGATCTGCCCAGCACACTGTAAACCAGTCACAGTCTGTCAGGTCACAGTCACAGAGAGAGAACAGGAGACCTTAGCTGCTGGCATAGGGCCTCCTCCTGCTCCATGCCGTCCTCCTGAGACTCCTCCCCAGGACAGTAAGAGCCGCCTCTTTTCCCCTGCGGCCTCCATCTCTTGCCCTCCTCGGCTTCCCCTGGTCTATTCTTTCTCGGCCTCATACTGGTTGGATTGAACAGAACGTGTTTTAGAAAAGGTCTCACTTTCACCCACCTTGCCAGGCTGGGCCAGAGGCAGTGCCACCCAGTAAGGCTGGAGAAGAGATCAGCTCCCTAGCTTGGCCCACCTGGCCCCACCCGCTCGCACCAAGGCCCCCCTCCTCACTATTGCGGAGGTTCCGCGCATTGACTGTTTCCAACTTCCAGGAGAACGTGGCTGCCCAGGGCAGAAGCCATCAGATATCCCCCTGGATCCTTTTGGAGGAAGGAGGAGGGCTCCGATTTCAGGGAGAAGTGAAGAATGAGTGTGCCTCTTTTTATGGGACCTTTGGAATGACAGGAATTGGAGGCCTGAGCCCCCTCCGCCCAGCACTGCCCCGTCACCGCCCCAGGCCTGCGGTTCCGTGGGTTCAGGGAGTGCTCCTTTGCTGAGATATGCTTGTGTAGT